GGCCCGGTGCTTGGCATACGGGCTCCGAGAAGTGTTTGGGGGCCTCTGGGTATGTGCTGCCGGAGAGATAAGGGATTCAGGGATCGTGCCCCTTTTATAGACGAGAGGTGGTGTCATCTTCAGCCTGGGGTGGTGCCCCGCTTATGACTGGGGGCTTTTTGGAGTCTGTCTTACTGTGTACAATTTGAAGGGTACTGGGATCCAGTCAGCATTGCCTGCTTCCAAACTCCTGCTTGGGGTTGGTCCTTGCATGGAAATGGTGCTACCAGTGGGTTGGGCCTAAGGAGATGTGGGTAGTCCTGCCCCTGCCCCTCATTTGTGGTGGGACCCGACCCCTCCACCCCTCATCTCTTAACTGAGGAGGTTAGGCCTTGTTGGTCTCTGGGGGAGTGGATGAGGCCTTGGAGGGCGAGGGGTGCTTCCTCAGAAGAGTGGGGAGACCTGGTTAGAGGGAGAAGGAAGGCCCTCCATATTTCCCGCTTTGCTTGGCAAGCTGGCACCTGCTCGTATTCAGGAAATGGGCAGCCCAGGGCCTGGTCCCGTGCAGAGGCCAGTTAGGGAGCTGCGGAGTGAGGGGATGATCTTGTACCTCAGTGACACTTTTGATGGTCACACACTTGTGAGCAGCCCTCCTCTTTGGCTCTAATAATTGATTTCTCCAACGTTGTCCCCCTCCGTACGAGCTATTGTGCCATGTATTAGCTATCTCCTGGCCTGTTCTTAGTCTCTAGTTTACCTTGGGGAATTGACACCTTTCTTCTGGATGCTTCAAAAAGAAACTGAATGCTCAGTAGGGCTGCATTCCTGCTACTTGCTCTCTGGTTCTTACGCGCGTGCCCCCATTATTGTGGAAACGATCCCAGAGACCTCTGGCTTTACAGACAGGACAGGGGTCTCCACCCTGGAGGGGTGTGATTCCACATTCCTCCAGTCTGTGGAGAGCCTTCTCTTTAGGGTGCCTCTCCTTCTGACCTGTTTCTCACTCCCATTTTCACTCACAGTAAGCTGCCCCTGGGGAAAGCTTTGCTTATTGTCTTGAGTTGAGAAAAGGCTGCAAAACTACTTTTAAAAATTTCAGTACTTGAAATAGGCTGTCAGGTTGCCGATGCTATTAGGATTCGGCAAGGAAGATCCCTGCTTGCTTCAAAGTTTCTGTCCGGTCTTGCTCTTCTGCTGTTTGCCTGGTTTCAAGAAAGGCCCTAGAAGTGGGACCCCGTCCCACGGAGTCCAGAACGGTACCATCTGTGGGGCAGACTTGAGCGTGTGACCGTCGTCACAGCCGGGAGAGCCCCGTTCGAGAGCGCGTGGGTTAAATGGTACACCCCATGGGAAGGAGAGGCTGGGGATGTGGCCTCCCTTTGGTGCTCAGGCAGTTGGGCCACCCGGGGCCCCACAGCCATGGTCATTTAGACCCTCTGCATCTGCAGGAGGGTGGAATTAGCAAGCTTTTTCCGTCTTTCAAATCTGAGGAATGTGTGAAAGGCGAGTGTCAGACCAGAAAGGAGCGCCATTAACTGTGCCTCTGGCACTCCCAGCGGGCCTGCCCTGCCACAACCCTGCTTGCTGTCAGTTTGTCAACAACTCGGACTGAGCCTCTCTGTCCCCGGCTGTGTGGACGCTGGGGGAGACAACAGGAGACATCTGCTGCTGCTTCCAGGCAGGGTGGAGGGCCGGCTCCCAGGAGGCTGTTTATTTCAGATGAGGAATTTTGCTGGCGATTAGGCCAGGTTGCCGCTGGGACAACACAAGCGTGTTGGTGATGGTGTGGGCAGGCAGGCTTCTTACGGGCGTGGCCACTTGTGCTCACACGCGCGCGCACGCACACACACGCTAGCATGTGCCGACACGCGTGCACCCATACCCTCACACGCACACACGTGCGTTACGGGCACACGTGCCCCCTGCACGCACACTCACGTGCACACCACCCAGGCACACACACGTGGACACACACTCGCCACATAGCTCCTTTATCAAGCAGGCAAACGTAAGCATCGAACACCCTGTTTATGGAAACAATAAAGCTGGCAGAAGTTAATGAACTAAATGGGCCAACGGAAAATTGCGTCCTTTTCTCTCTACTGCTTATCTGTTACTAACGCTTTATCTCTTTCTCTCTCTATTTCTCATTCTGCTTTGAGAAGAGAGGCCGCTTCTTCCTCTTACTCGGGCATTGAAAGCTGCCCTTGGATGTGATTCTCGGCCCTCTGAGCAGAACGAAAACACTCTCTCGGTCTTCTCCGGACGCGATGTTATTTTATGGCACCTGAAATCAGGCTGTCTGGGCTCGTAGGCCAACTCTGGTACTTATTGGCTGTACCACCTGGGGAAAGTTACCTAACTTTCTGTGCCTCAGTGTCCTCGTCTGTAAAACGGGGTAATAATAGCCCTGCCTTTTTGGGGGCATTGTGAGAATTAGTAAATGCTGAGCCCAGTGCTTGGCACGTGGGAAGTATCTGTTTAATACTGATGATTATTAGTTTGCCCCTGGCCCTGACTGTTCTCTGGAGAGACTCTTGGCTGTCTTGGGCTTCCAGCCTCTTGCACTCAACTATGCAAGTGTTTGTGTCTTTCCTTTCCATGTGAGCTGGAGAAGAAGGAACCGGCAAGGTCAGACACAGACTCCATGATTTCTTTCTTTAATCCGTGGGCTTCTGTCTACCTGACTGTCTCCGTTTGTACCCTTTGGAGCTATAGTTGGGATTATTTCTAATTTGCTTCACATGGTTCCTTAGCAACACTCACTAATATAGGATTAGGAACAAAAATACTTTTGGTGAGAATTTCAAGGATCTTAATGTATTATAGACTGTTGCTTTAAAAAAATAATTACTCTGATTTCCCCTTCCTTATTTTAAAATTCATTGTAAAATACTTAGTCTACCCAGATAATCAGAAAGAATAAAAATCACCCTGCTGGCAGCATCTTTGTGTATATTTTTCCAGTTTGAAAAGTATATATACGCATGTATCTGTCGAAATGGCAATTGTACACGTCCTTTTCGTGAATAGGACATTTCACAATGCCCATCTGCCCACGATGTTTTGAAAGTGAGTTTTGAAAGAACATGTTCTTTCCAATCGGATGAAGTGTGGCTTCTCCAGGAAGAACGTGGCCCATGTGTACACCCTCCGTGGAGAAGAAGTGGGTGTGTGATGGCATATCGAGCTGGATGGGCTGCTAGGTGGTCTCAGGGGCACCCCAGCAGGGCACGCCTGTGGGAGGATGCAGTTAGGCTGTGAGCGGGAGAAACCTCTCTCTCTCTATGTTGATTTGTCTCCTGCAGCCAGAGTTGGCTTTCAGCTCAGGTGCAAGGGAATGGATGGACAGCCTGCGGTCATTCTCAACTACAGGCACCAGTGCACCTGCAGGGAAATGTGAACCCACTGGCACCTGGATGAGGAGCAGAGGGGTGCAGGGCTCACCTTTCAGGGAGGCAGGCAGAGGTGAAGCACACAGACACTAGAACCGGACTACCTGCGTTTAAGTCCCACCGAGGTTACTCGTTAGCCTTGTGCAGTTGGGCACGTTGCTTACGCCTTCTCTGTGCCTCGGATTTCTCATCCACAAAATAGATGTCGTGGTATCTATTTCACAATGTAGTCATATGGATTAAGTTAATATGGGCATAAAAACATCTTTAAAACAGCAATGGTGAGTTGAGTCTTGCCTCAGCACCCCTCTGATCTCTTCGGCTTTCTTCTCCCACTTTTAAGGACCCAGTTACTTTGGGCCCACCTGGGATAATCCAGGAGAATCTCTTTATTTTAAGGTCAGCTGATCAACAACCTTAATTGCCCTTTGCTGTGTAGGGTGACATAGCCACAAATTCTGGGGATTAGGGTGTGGAGTCTTTGGGGGCCAATATTCTACCTCATCTATTGTCTTGAACAATTCCTTACATCTCCTACAGTGATTCATCTGGAATGATGTGTTCAGAGCACATCTCCGTCCCCAGATGAACTCCTCAAAGACTGGAATTGTGTCTTGTTCTTATCGGAGTTCTCCATGACCTGATCTTCAGACCTGGGTTATTGGTACCTCTGCAGGTGTGGGAGAACTTTCCAAGGGGATGTGGGTAAAGGTAGTTTTAAAGGGACCCATTTAAGAATGTACCTGCTATGGAAGCCAGCTTTCCATTTCTCCTCCTCTTTCCAGATCCTTTTTTCTCACTTTGACAAAGAAAGACTGAGCCCTCCCCCACCCCGAAATGCCAGATAGTGACATTCAAAATACTGGTGTCCATGAAGCCTCTGCATGTCTCGTCATTCTGATTAAGACATGTATTTTTGGGGCACCTGGGTGGCTAAATCGGTGAAGCGTCCAGCTTCGGCTCTGGTCTTGATCTCACGGTTGTGGGTTTGAGCCCCGCGTTGGGCTCTCAGCTGTCAGCACGGAGCCCGCTTCCGGTTCTGTGTCCCCCTCTCTCTCTGCCCCTCCCCCTTTCACATGCACTCTCAAAATAAATAAACATGAAAAAGACACATATTTTCAATTAATTGTATGTATGTATGTAACACATATACAGTTGCACCTGTCACGTACCTATATTGACTTGATCAGACATGTACAAGTAATAATTGCAGTGATAGCTGGCCAGAGGAAGAATTTCCAACACTCAGGGATCAATTGTGGGAAAGAAAAAGTAAGGTGGAATTTCAGTTTATACGCATTTTTTTTCTTCCAGAGAATTATGATAAGGTGAATAATAAAAGACTTTCTGGCACAAAAATTATATGACAATAAAATTCAGTGAGGAAAAATAAATATGCTTTCAAAGAGGAGAAAGGAAAAGCTGTAAGCTTTTCCGACTCATAAAGAAGAGTTTGTTTATGTATTTTTTAAAATAACTGATGGTGAGTATCAGATTGCTATGGCATTTAAATTCCATTGGGGACATTTAAGAGAGTGACGTAATGGTTTTATATTCATAAAATGTCAATATTTACAATACAGTAGGAATCACAGCCTTTGCCTTATTTAAATGTATGATAAAAATTTTAGATGTTAACCAAAACTGTGCAGGGGCCTATGTCCTATATCAGAATTCTTTTAGGAGTCATAGGAGCTTGAATGTTTGAAGACCGTCTGCTTTTGGCACCTTACACGTAGTCGTGGTTCAAACGTGTTTGCTTTTGAGGAGGGATTTAAGTGAAGTTTGTAAACCATTAGAAAGGATAAGATTTAAGGTGGTCTTACAAGCTTTGAATGAGAGAGTTCGAACAGATACGCGTCTCTGCTGGATGGCTCCAGTGTGCACCTCTCAGCAGCTCGGGAACATCTTTGGCGTCTCTTGTGTGTTTCATTCCCTGCCCCCCGCCCCCCCCCAGCCAGTTCTTCTATTCTCTGACACCAGTTGGGCATCTTGTCCTTCACTTCAGTGCTGACACCAGTTACCCCGCACGGCTGACACAGACCCTGAAGGTTGACTCAGTCCTCCAGCACTGCCCCCACGCCAGGTGCCAGGTGCAGGCGGGGTCCCCGGGCTACCTGCACTTCTGCCTGTCCAACTACAGATGTGGGGGGTTTCACCACCTTCACGCCCCTCCAGTTTGATAATTTGTTAGAATGACTCACAGGAGCCAAGGAAGTGCTGTACTTGGGTTATAGTCTTATTTTAAAGGACACAAAAGTCAGGAACCGCCAGATGGAAGAGAAGCACAGGGCAAAACTGGCAGGGGGTGTGGGCAGGGGGTCTCCATGTCCTTTTTGTGGTACCACCCTCCCAGCACGTCCATATGTCCACCGATCTGGGAGCTCCCCTAGCCCTGTGTTTCAGAATTTTTAGCCAAGTTTCCTTACAGAGGCACGATTGCTTAAATCACAGGCGGTTGTTGATTGAGCTCAGTCCGTGGTCACTCTCCCCTCCCCAGAGGTGGGGCTGGGCAGGGGGAGGTGCGTTCCTGGGCATCAGGCTGCTATCCTGCGGCTCCTGGGGGGGCCTGCCAAAGGTCACGTCATTAGCATACGCGCAGGAGTGGGTCAGAGGGGCTCCTGAGGAATAACAGAAGACTTTCCATCACTCACAGAATTCCACATTTTAGGAGCTCCATGCCAGCAACCCAGGGCAAAAACCAAATATGTATGTTTTTATTATAACACAGTGGGATTCTAGGAAATCATTGATTTCCTTTCTTAGTTTGGCAAGTTGGGGATTAGCTTAAGGGAGCAGGGGCAAGTGTGACCTTACGGCCTTTGCCAAGTCTTGGAGGAATAGCACTCGGGAAGGAGGTTTAGGGCTCTTGTTAGAGATTTTAGTTGTTCATTTTACCAGCCAGCCAATCAGCCAGCCAACCAACCAACCAACCCACCAACTTTATAGCATGCTAAGTCCTCAACTAGGAGCCTAGGAGCACAGGAGCCCAGGAGCCTGGAAGTGGTGGTCTGGGGGAGGCAGAGAGTACAAAGTTGAATTAAGCACAGTTCCTGCCCTGGAGGTTCCTGCCTTGCCAAGCTTTTCTTGGGGACCATGTCTTTCTGCTTTCCTTTACCCTTTCTTAGGATCGTGTTTCACTGATAGGACAGGCTTCTGGTGGAAAGGAATTCTGCACACCAGAGACACTGGGGAACAGGATCTCCAATGGGGAAGCCCTTGCTCCCCCTGCACGATTCCTGTGCCCTCCCTCACCTATGCTCCGGGTTGTCTTAGTCTCCTGAATCCTCATTAGCAGGAATGCGTCCATTTTTAGGAGTGATGAGTGGATGGAAAAATGTCACCAATCACTCATGACAGATGTCGCCAAAGCTTAATTAAGACCAGACAGTTTCAGCTCAGCGACTTTGTAGATGATGTCGGAAGAATGCTGGATCACAGAGCCAAGATTCAGGGTCCCAGCAAGATTCTGTAAGCAGTCTGTCTCACCTTTGTGGAAAGAAGCTCGCTCTGCAGTGTAGGGAATGCTACTTGTTTAAGATGCGGTTTCTGCCCTCATGGAGGTTATAATTACAAATTAAAAAATTTGTACATGAAAAGAAATAAGATGAAGCATGAAATTGTATTCACACTGCCTCTCTAGAGGGGAGTGGGAAGTGGAGAGAAAGGGAGAGAGACAGACATAGGATTTTGGATTCTGTCCCTGGTCGCTCAGCCTCTCCCCCCTCTTTCTGCTCAGGGAGACTGCGCGTCTGCCGAATGGGTCCTGGAAGAGGGTGTAGGGGGGGTGAAGACATCAAGAACCTTAGGCTGGGGTTTCGGGAGAGATTCTAATGGGGAATTAGCCAAGGCTGGGCTGGAGAGGGAAACTGGCAAGGAGAGTGTGGTAGGAGGCATGAGAACCGAGGAGGGGAGCAGTGGGGAAAGGGTTTAAATGTTGGTGTGGACTGTGAATTACATCCCTTTTGAGCTTCTAGAAGATTGCAGTGATTTTTCTGGAAAGGTTGGAATGCCTTTGGATTATTTTTGGTCTCTAGACTGCACTTCCTAAAACGTGCAATAAGACAGATACTGGGCAATACGATATGCAGAGTAACTCCCAATTTAAACTGAGGCCAGCTACGCTATTGGAAAATATCCTGAGGGTGCAATGTAAATCTAATCATGCTACTCTTAGGCTTAAAACCGTTCAGCAGCTTTCGTTTGCCCTAGAAGTGAAATCTCATCTCCTTACTGTGGCTTCAGAATAGGCCTCTGCCCACCCCTCCCAGGACAACTCGGGCCATTTTACTCACTCTGCTCTGGCCACGCTGGCCTTTCAGTTTCTGGGGCACTGTAAACTCAGCCTCTGCAGGGCTTTTGCACAGAGTGTACTCTCAGGCAGCAGTGCCTTGGTCCCTATTTCCACTTCTCTACTCTGCACAGTATGTTCTTCCTTATTCTTCAACTCTTGGCTTCAATCTCACCACCTAAAAGGCCCTCCCTCACTCCCCTCTGATCTAAAAGAAGTTACCTCGTGATTATTTCTCACGGTGCAGTGGGTTGAATGGTAGCCCCCGAAAGGTAGGTCCTGGAAACTGTGAATGCAACCCTATTTGGAAAAAGGGCCTTTGAGGATGTAATTAAGTTAAGGATCTCAAAATGATATCATCCTGTATTATCTGGGTGGGTCCTAAATCCCAAGTGCCCTTATAGGAGACAAACAGAGGAGAGACGCAGAGGGAGAAGACGAGAAGGCATGAGGCCATGTGACCATAGAGACCCTTTGCCAGAAGTGCCGTGAGCCAAAGAACACCTGTGGCCACCCCGAGATGAAAGAGGTAAGAGTGATTCTTCCCGAGAGCCTTTGGTGGGAGCGTGGCCCTGCAGACACTTTGCTTTCAGACTCCCGGCCTCTAGCACCGTGAGAGAATCAGTTTCTGTCACGGCACTTTGTCACAGCAGCCATGGGAAGCCCATACCCACAACATCCTGTTCTTTTCCTTCATATTGTTTATGCCGACTTAATTTCACCTCGCGGACTTGACGATCTGTTTATTACCTACCTGCAGCTCCCCCTCAACACTGCACCTGACATGGTCAGGTGTACTGTTCCTCACTGTATTTGCAGTGCCTGGCACAAGCAGATGCCAAAGAGACATTTATCGAACGAATGAAGACAAATAGCACATCTCACTTAGAATCGTTGAGGAAAGCATCTCCTTCTTGGAGAACCGCAGGCTCACTGAGGGTGGGAATGTGTGCTTCTCTAGTGCTTGACGTCACCTGACTTGCAGGTAAGGGCTGCAAGGGGTGTAACCATTCCCTCTGAAGTTGAGCCCGCTTTTAATTTGCCTTGCTAATCCTTTCTTTATGGAAAGGGAGGCAGTCGGCTTCCCAGTGGTCCCTGTCTAAACGACCCCGGACACCAGTGTGAGACGGGGGCAGCCTAGCTCTGAGCGTGGAGGTGAAGTGCAGGGGGCCTGGGCACATCAGGTTCCAGCGGGATTCAGTGCCGAAGAAAACACATTCTTTGAAGAGAAGGGTAATTGCTGAAGGCTTTGTCCAATGTTGAGGCAGAGGGGATGGACCATTTGAACTGGTTTAGTATTCATGATAATATATGGTTCAGGACTCAATAAAAGGGTATAATTCTATTGAGGGATTCCACTGAGCTCATAAACCGCCGGAGTGTGGCTCGTCAGCAGAATGCAGAGATTGGGTTACCACGGAGCTTGTCAACAGGGACCACTCAGGGCTGTTGATCACTCCCAAGGAAGGATTATCATGGGACTCCTCTGGACTGCATGCCTAGAAAAAGCAGTGCCCAAATAGTTTAGTTAAATTCTGTGTGTGTCTGTGGTCCCAAAGTATACCAAGGATCGCAGTGGAACAAATGGTTTCATTACGTGGTATTTGTTAATGAAACTTATGCACAAAATTTTTTGTCTCTAAGGTCGCCATAAATGAGAAAGGGGGTATTTCCTGGAACTGTGGGTGAAACGACCTTTACCTTTATTCGGAATCATGACAGTGAATGTGAAAGTGGCATGGTATCGGGTAATAGGGAGTAGTGGGGACCACGGTCAGGTAGAAAGTACGTGTCTAGCTTAGACCTGGGGTTTGCCAAACAAGCCATCTCTGAAGCCAGTGTGAGGTATTAGTTTACATGTTTATCTTTCCTGTCGACCAAGGGTTCACAAACTACAGCCCGGGGGTCCAATCTGGCCTGCCTCTTGTTTTTGTAAATAAAGTTTTATTGGAACACAGCCATACCCATTTTTTTGTGTACCGTCTATATTTAGCACTTTTGAGCTATAGTGACAGAGCTGAGTAGTTGCACAAGATAGCAACCGGCCTTCAAAGCCCAGAATATTTATCATCTTTTTCTTTTTTTTTTTTTTTTACAGAAAAAATGAGCCAATTCTTGCATTAGACTATGTGCTTCTTGAGGGCAGCTTGGCACATATTTTAAACTAAAAAATTATTTGTTTATTTTGAAGAAGAGGTGTTCTATTTTCTATGGCAGGTATGCTGGGTTGTTTGCCCAACAGCCATGCCCCCTTCTTTGCTAACAGAGGCAGCCATGAGCTTTAGGGGTAGTGGATGGGCTTCTCCCTAGCCCCCAGAGGGTGAACTTTGATTAGTTCAAGCCAACTGTGGTTATCCCCTCCTCTTCCTAGTTCTATGGTTTAGGCATTGGCCTGTGATGGGATTGTGGCCAATGAGATGTGGGGAAACACAGGCTTCCCCCACGATGGAAGTCTGCTGGGGGTTTCGGAGAAGGTAGGTGTAAGGGATGGTTTCACATTCTTAAAAAGGGACCCAAGGAGTGCCATGTTCCCTTCCTTTGCCTTTGGACCTTCTTGAGGGAGGCTGGTGCTTACACCGGCTGTAGCATCTTGGTACCGGCCAAAGCCAAAAGCCAAAGGTGAGGATCGCAGGGTGAAAATAGTGTGTGGGTTCTCAACGCATAATGAAAACCAAATGAACCAATCCAGGATCTGTCCTACTTTGCATGCACATATGTACGTGTGTGTGTGTGTGTGTGTGTGTATGTGTGTGTGTGTGTGTGTGTGTGTAAATGTCTTTCTTGCTTATTCACTTTCAATTGGGTTGATCCAAAAACGAACATCCTAAAAAATTACAAATGTTACGTTGTTGGACCTGCCTACTCTTTCTTTGGGATTTCTAACTTTCAAGTCTGTCTACTAGGAAAGGTTCCTGTAGATTTTATGAAAATGTTCTTGTGATGTTGTTTTATTTTTCATTTAGAACCTTACTCCATCGGGAATTCATTTTTTTATATGGTACAAAGTAAAGGTTTTTTGTTTTTTGTCTGGATGGAGAAATATATTTTTTTGAGTGTATATTAGTGAATAAAATCCAGTGTGCTTATTGAAGTTTCATAAAGATGGTATGTTATTTTCTAAACTGGAAACTTATATGACAAGACCGGTTTCTCATAGATACCTTCTTAGAAAATGGCTAACTTGGGGCACCTGGGTGGCTCAGTTGGTTGAGCGTCTGACTTCGGCTCAGGTCATGATCTCACAGCTCGTGAGTTTGAGCCCCACGTCCGGCTCTGTGCTGACAGCTCAGAGCCTGGAGCCTGCTTCGAATTCTGTGTCTCCCTCTCTCTCTCTGCCCCTAACCCACTCGCATTCTGTCTCTGTCTCTCTCAAAAATAAATAAACATTAAAAAAAAATTAAAAAAAAAGAAAATGGCTAACTTAATTGATGCATTTAAGGATGATACTGCTGTAACTAGAGTATTTGTGAATTCCTAACAAATAACTTAGAGAAACCGAAGATCTTTGCCAGAAGTTATCAGTTTTAAGACAAACTATATCATATAAGGGAAACACCAGCCCTGTTAAGTATATCTAATCTGGCCCATCCCAAGGAAAGATATTGGGTTATTTCCTGGTGCTGATTAGGAATGTTGAAAGAAAGAAGTCAGAGTGAAAATTTATCAGCATCTTGCACTGACTCGAAGGAAACAGTTGGATTTTGAACTGCAGAAGACCCTCATATCTGAAGATAATTGGTGCTGCGAAACAGCATTTCAAGTAAATTCGCTCAAAATAGAGGCTAACGTTTACTGAATCCAAAACATGCAAGCCAACAAAAACCCCTTGACCGGTCAATGAATTCAAACAATAACTAGAAGATATTTGCAATACACAAAACCAAAGATTAGTATCAAGAATGTAAAAAGGATACCTGCAAATCAACAAGAACAGGAACTAGAAATGTGGGCAAAGATTGCAAACAGACTTTTTAGAAGAGAGAGCACAAGAAGCCGATACGTTTGTGAATTCTTACTTGTATTGTTAGGCTCAGGTAAATTCCGATCAAGACCTCAAGGAGATTTCCCCCTCCTGCCCATTTAATTGGGGAAGATGTACCTACCATACACTTAACCAAATTTAGTTTATAATTGCCACTGTGCACTGACTCTTAGGACATGCAAAGTAAGAGTCAAATGTTGATTTTTTTTTTTTTTTTGGATGTAACGTTTTTAAGACCATAAGATGTACAATTTTTTTTTTTTTTTAAATTGGAAGATAGCAGTTTATAAGAGTCGTCTTATAACAAGGACGGGTGTTGACAAAAATATTTGAGGACATCAAGTTCTGATGTTTAAATCATTCTTTTTAAAAACTTATTTTAGCATCATCCCTTGCAGACTTTTCCTTTTGAGTTATAGCCGGGCTAACTTTGGCCAGATCCTCCTTTGCCAACAGCCCCGCATTTGATTTAAGCAGCTGTCCACCATCACTCTTCTGGAATTCATGGCTTTCTGCATCTTTGTCAGTGTCGCTTTGCAATCGGTTGGCAGCGAAATGAGGTGGCATTGTAAGGCCTTTGCAGTTTCCCTGGGAGACTGACAAAGAATTTGACTTAACCATTGATAAGATTGGGAGGGTGGGAGAAGGTTGGCAGCCGGAGTGGTTTACAGTGGCTTTTGTCTTTCCAGCAATCATTTCCCCCTTTTTGGAAATAGCACCCTGATTTTCATGGGGAGACTTACAGTCTCCCAGCTCCTAGTCCATATGGCTTGACTGAAGCTGCTCCTACCTTTAACTCCAGGGATGAGCATGTGCCTCAGGCCTGGCCAGTCAGAACACTGACATTGCCCTGGGCACATTGGTTGGTTCAGGGATGGGCATGTGACTGAAACCAGACCAATGAAATTCTTTTCAGTGACTTAAAAAACATTTTTTAAAATGTTTATTTATTTTTGAGAGAGAGAGAGAGCATGAGCAGGGAAGGGACAGAGATAGAGGGAGACACAGAATCCGAAGCAGGCTCCAGGCTCCGAGCCGTCAGCACAGAGCTCAATGCAGGGCTCAAACTCATGAACTGCAAGATCATGACCTGAGCCAAAGCTGGATGCTTAACCAACTGAGCCACCCAGGCGCCCCTCCATTCGGGGACTTTGGATGGAACCTTTGGAAAAGAGGGTGTTCCTTTCTCCTAGGTTGCTCAGCTGCTGGAGTATAAGCCTCCACATGCTCTGACCACTTTGCTGCCACTCGGAGAAAGCAGATCTGAGAACAGAGCCAACAAAAAGCAGAATGCTGTCACAGAGGCAGATAGTTTCTTCTTGACATTTTTTTGGGAACTTCAAGAGGTTTTCATTTCTATTTTTCATGTTAAGTTGTATGAGTCGGATTTCTTTCACTGGCCCTCAAGAGAAGCTGGTGGACACACAGGATGGCAGAATTTGGATTAGAGCACACATTTCTTAGTCCTAGTTCACCGCTTTCTCCACTGCACTTGGGTGCTTCCCCCAGAGTCCCTTGTTCAGTTTACACAGTTTCTGGATTTGTGG